ATTTGGTGGTAAATGGTAATGGATATCTCCTAATTTCTTTTTTTATTATCAAAGGAAAACTGGCCCAAAATAGTAAAAAAAAAATTAGTTTTTTCTTTTTATTTCGCTGTGTGTTTCTTGTTACTACCATAACCTACCACCAAAGAACAACCCAAAATAAATTCTCCAGCTCTTGACGATCGCAGTGATACCATATACAGTCATGGCCGAAATTGTTGGCACCCTTGATATTTTTCCTGAAAATCAAGTATTTCACACAAAAAAAGGTATTGCATTAACACATGTTTTGCTATACACATGTTTATTCCCTTTGTATGTATTGGAACAAATATAAAACAGAGGCAGAAAAGCAAATATGACATAATGTCACACAAAACCCCAAAAATGGGGCTGGACAAAAGTATTGGCACCCTTAACTTAATATTTGGTTGCACACCCTTTGGAAAACATAACTGAAATCAGTCGCTTCCTATAACCATCAATAAGCTTCTGACACCTCTCACCCGGAATTTTGGACCACTCTTCCTTTGCAAACAGCTCCAGGTCTCTCTTTATTGGAAGGACACCTTTTCCCAACAGCAATTTTAAGATCTCTCCACAGGTGTTCAATGGGATTTAGATCTGGGCTCATTGCTGGCCACTTCAGAACTCTCCAGCGCTTCTTTGCCATCCATTTCTGAGTGCTTTTTGACGTATGTTTGGGGTCATTGTCCTGCTGGAAGACCCAGGATCTTGGACGCAAACCCAGCTTTCTGACACTGGGCCCTACAGTGCGACCCAAAATCCTTTGGTAATCCTCAGATTTCATGATGCCTTGCACACAGTCAAGGCACCCAGTGCCAGAGGCAGCAAAACAACCCCAAAACATCATTGAACCTCCACCATATTTTACCGTAGGTACTGTGTTTTGTTCTTTGTAGGCCTCATTCCGTTTTCGGGTAAACAGTAGAATGATGTGCTTTACCGAAAAGCTCTATCTTGGTCTCATCTGTCCACAAGACGTTTTCCCAGAAGGCTTTTGGCTTACTCAAGTACATTTTGGCAAACTGTAGTCTTGCTTTTTTATGTCTCTGTGTCAGCAGTGGGGTCCTCCTGGGTCTCCTGCCATAGCGTTTCATTTCATTTTAAATGTCGACGGATAGTTCGCGCTGACACTGATGCTCCCTGAGCCTGCAGGACAGCTTGAATGTCTTTGGAACATGTTTGGGGCTGCTTATCCACCATCCGGACTATTCTGCGTTGCAATCTTTCATCAATTTTCCTCATCCGTCCACGACCAGGGAGATTAGCTACAGTGCCATGGGTTGCAAACTTCTTGATAATGTTGCGCACTGTGGACAAAGGCAAATCTAGTTCTCTGGAGATGGACTTGTAACCTTGAGATTGTTGATATTTTGCCACAATTTTGGTTCTCAGGTCCTCAGACAGTTCTCGTCTCCTCTTTCTGTTGTCCATGCTTAGTGTGGCACAGACAGACACACAATGCAAAGGTTAAGTGAACGTCTCTCCTTTTTTATCTGCTTTCAGGTGTGATTTCTATATTGCCCACACCTGTTACTTGCCCCAGGTGAGTTTACAGGAGCATCACATGCTTGTAACATTCTTATTTATCCGCAGTTGTGAAAGGGTGCCAATACTTTTGTCCAGCCCATTTTTGGAGGTTTGTGTGACATTATGTCGAATTTGCTTTCTTTCCTCCCTTTTTTTGTTTTGTCCCAATACACACAAAGGGAATAAACATGTGTATAGCAAAACATGTGTTAATGCAATACGTTTCGTGAGAAATACATGATTTCCTGGAGAAATATCAAGGGTGCCAACAATTTCGGCCATGACTGTATGTGGTTGTTATTTGTTGCTTGTACCCGTAGTACAGCCCAGAAACAACAGTGCGCATTTTGTTTTTTGTCTTTTTTTAGGTAAAAAAAAAAACAAAACACTGACATTAACGCTAACTGACACCAATTTTTTTTTTAAATCCTGACCTTGACCCAAACACTAACCCTGACACTGAACTAGATCAAACCTTGATCTAGGTATTTTTCTTTCTTTTTTTTTTTTTTTTTAAAAACCTAAAACACACTGACATTAACGGTAACTGTCACCAATTTTTTTTTTTATCCTGACCTTTGACCTTGACCCTTGACCCTGATCCAAACACTAACCCTGACACTGAACAATATCAAACCTTGATCTAAGTATTTTTCTTTATTTTTTCTTTTCTTTTTTTAATTCTTTTTTTTTTTTTTTTTTTACAAACTTTTTTTTTTTTTATCTCTCTATGTCAGAAGTTAGAGAGATACAATGTATCCCTCTCCTTCATTCATAGAGAGAGAAAAAAGAAGGGGGCCGGGCTGCACAGTGACTGATCACTGTGATAGCCAATCAGAGGCTATCACAGCGATCTCGGGACCCGGAATCGGGAGACCCGGGTCCCGATCGTTAGAACGGGACCCGGGGCTCTCAGTGACACCGCGCGGTCTCTGTGCTGGGAGCATTCCGAGCGGCGTGCTCCCAGCACAAAGACAAGTATGCAAATACAAGTACAGCCCCACGGAAAAAAGTCCAGTTCCGTGAAGCTGCATATTTGCGTGCCGTCAGCGTCAAGGGGTTAAAGCAATCCACTGAGCTGGCCAGAACCAACTCTTGAGGGAGTTAAATCATTTAATATCTGGTGATCCCGCCAGTCCCCATTAGTATGATGTACTTCCTGACCATGTTTAGTTTGTAGGCCTGCTTCCTCTAAAGAGACTTACAGGAATTGGTGCTGACACATGGCGTTCCTGTAATC